GGATTTAAAAATGTATTCATGCGTTTGAGTCGTCCAGTCAAAGTTCAGACCCAAATTTAATTCATGATCTGCCACAAGACTTGTATTTGGATGTCTACAGGCTCGATCTCCATCTAAACTGACTGGGCTGGAACTATTTGGAAAAGAAATATGAAAAACCATTAGATTCTTTTTTAAATGCCCCAAAAAGGCTATAAAAGGGAAATGAAATGTGGCTCTAAGGAGTGTTCATTCATGGGAGTGGAATATAAACCAGATTTTCTTGGTTATAAAGAGAAAATTAATTATTTTGTGGTCTTTTTTTCCCACTTGCTGTTTAGTACGCATTTGTCACATGTCTTATTGTTGTTGTGCAACCCTGCTGTGCTGTTTAAGATCAAACATCATGCATTTAAAGCAGTTAGATATACTTTATAATTTGCTGACTCATTGGAGCATTAGAGGGAAGTCCATTACTCAGATGCTAAATGATTGCACTTCTACTCAGAGATCAATTGATATGCCTTTATCAAGTTAGGGATGAGATATGAGGCGGCTCATTATTTTTGTGTCTCCTCAATGACGATCTGAGTGAATAAGGTGGAAACAAAAAAACAAATGATTGTCCTACAGTTAGCCGGTTTGCTGCCTTATTGGTGCCATTAATGCAAATCAAACAAAGTGCATTCATTATTTTTTGTAGGTTGTTTTCATCAGTCACTGATGTTTTAAGATTGAATCAGTTTTTAACAATTTTATTTCTACAGGATTATTCAAAGCCCACTATTTGGCTCCCTTGTATCTGATGGAGGGCTGGTGGTTTTCATCGGGTCATGTGGTTCTGACAGCTGGTGAGGCACAGATTAAGGATGGGCCTCGGTGCGACGGAGGGTGGAGGAGGGCACCCAGAGTCTGGACAGGGGCAGTTTAAAAAAAAATTAATCCCTGACCCCCTACCTTACATAAACGCAAATGGGTATGATAACACTAATGTGTGCTTTTCCTATATAATCTCTTTTTGGTTTGTTTTTTATAAGCTTTCTATAAGAATTATATATATATTTCTTTTATATTATCCATGGATGGCAGTACTTGCTGGATGTGGTTGACATTTTCCCATTGAGAGACGTTCCTTCTTAAATTAGACAAAATTAGAACAATAGATGGTGTTCGTCTCCCCTCTTATCTGTCAGTTTTGACATTTGCATTCAGTCAAGTTTCAGTGCAGGTTTTCTTAATCCTTCTGGCATTCACTGATGCCAGGTCCAATACATTATTAAAATAAATGTCATGTATATGCTTTCAGATTTAGAAGCTTTAAACTGCATTTAAATAAATCACATTTCTGCATAGATAAGATAAAGTGTTGTTGATTTTTACCCATTTATAGAAAATTTGTTCATAGACTCTAAACTTTGATAGCCAATCAGTGGTTTGAATTGAAGGACCATTTTAACCCAGATATGCTTGATTTGAAATTGTAAAGTCCCACCTCTATTGATGCCACTTACGCCGCTTGAAAAGTGTTTCTGCTGCAATATTTGTTAAACTTGTCCCTTTGTACAAATTAGCTGAATTCTGGTGTTTACTAAAGTTGGAGCTAAAGCTGCAGAGGTAATATGATTAGGGTTGCATGATGTCCTGGTTTGCATAAAGAACCTCTTTATTTATTTTTTTTCCACAGAAAGTTTTCCTAAATGCAAAGAAAGCAGAGCTGTGCCAGTGGCCCATGTCATGACCAACATGTGCACAATATTTCTTAGAACAGAACAGATAAAAGGTTTTAATACAAAATATGGTTGAAACTATGTTTAAAGGAAAATAAAATGCAACAAAGATTGCAGATTGGTATAACTGGGTAAATCCGGGGATTTTCAAAGAGCTTTTATGTAAAGTCTGCAAATTTTCATTTGTTATTAGGGGAGTAAGATGCAATTGGACACTGGGTTAAGAAAGAAACAGGTGAAAACTTATTAAGCATCGTAGTTGCCCCACTTTTGTAGATCTGCTCGCCCTAATTAAGATGTTGCTGCAAAGTTGATGGATGGGTGAGAAAACATCCCTATTAATGCTGATACTAGTGACAGCCACGCTATTTTAGTCTCTTCAGTGTAAGCTCAAACACTATTATAAATAAATAGACTGATTAATTAAAGAGTGTGCAGGCGACATTGAGCTCTTAACTTTACCAAAGCATTACAGAATGTTTGAGCTCTAGTAAGTAGCTGCATATTGCCAAAACCTTCTGATACTTCTGTAGGGTTGCCAACGCTTCTATTTATGTCAGCTCATCATGCTGGAATTCTATTTAGGCTCGAAAAGGACCATCTAAACGATATCAGGATAAAAGCTTGATATAGGCAACCTCATTTTATCAGAATCAAATTGTTTTTGCTCTTTTCTTATGTATAACAGGAATATGTCCCTTAAATGTTAACCTACTCTCTGAACAAAACGATGATCAAACCATGGTGGTTTCTGATTAGAAAATGATACATGATAAGAATGACATTACTTCCTGTGTCCTGGTTTTAACTTATGAGCCAATTTTATAGAATCGTTCGGTCATATTCTTTCTCTTAGTTTTTCATTCTATTTGCAGAAAGATTGAACAGATTGTTAAAGAACTAAACTCTTCTGTGGTCTCCCTCTGAGGTAATCCCAATCCTGAGTTTGAGTAGAGATTTAGTTAATGAAGATTAAGATAGCCCTTGTTTGGATTAGATCTTGATCCTTTTAATCAGCTCTATTGTTAAAGCTATTAAAACTAACTTCTATCTATCCTCCAGCTCAGAACCGACAGCCTGGTGTTTCTGTTGCTCCACATCACTAAGCCTATTCTAGATAACATGGTTCTATCTCCTTATAATAAAATCACTAGATAACCCAAATGTGTTGCCTTTGAATTGGGAATGGAGAAAAACTAATTAGGGTTTGATCCCTGGAGTCAAAGCACCATCTTCATTCGTATCCCCGTATGGATCCAGGGGGCCTGTATCCAGGGAGTTTTTGTAAGGGTCCCCCCCCCACTTCGTACAGCTGTTAAATGCCACGCCAGAAAGTCACCACCGCCACCGCACACTTTTAGCTTGTCTAGCAGGACTGAGATTCAACATGGCAGCTGGTGGGGTGGAGTGTTCTCAAATTATCTGCAGCTCATAGTTTGGATGCGCATCACAAAGGGGAAACCACGATGCATCTCGACTACCCTGGCATCCCTCCAAACACAGAGCCGGGTTCTGGGCTTGGGGCCTCGAAGAGTGTCCAGCAGAGTGATTCAGTTACATTAGCGCTGCTGTGAATGCGTTTTTCTCAAAAGTTAGGTTTCAACAGGTATAGAATATTGAGCAGGAAGTCTGTCAGAGATGCTCCACTAAGAATAAAGCAGCTTTTAGATTGAATGGCTCTAATAGGCGTGTCGGGGCTGTATAATGGAGAGTGGAGGAGAAGGTGTGGCCCAAAGACATCTGTCCACTAAGTAGGCCATATTGTTTCAGCAGCTGCTGATTGAATGGACCCAGGGGAAGGAAGTCAAAGCATTTAAACATTATAGAAAAGGTGTAGCCTTATCAGTTTTGTTTGCGCTTTTGTCTGCCCTTTTGTTTGGGTCTGTGTGTGTTTTTGTCACATGAACCAAGTGTGGCTGAAGGCATGTTATCTAGCTGAGTAAGATACAATGGAGGTGTGCTGAGAACTGGAGGTTCTACTCACAGGTTTTCACTTGAATTCTTTCACATGAACATTCTTTTCCTTTGGTGTAGGTTCAAGAATAAAATAATCTTTCAACATGGATAACTTTGAAAAAAGCAGTATGTAAAGTCAAGGAATCCTCAGAACACAATCAAGAAACAAGAAGCACATCGCTTTAATTCCAGCCTAAACATTTTTGTCCTTCCATCTTTGCCCAGCTTTTTCATCAGCCTTATATTGGTTTGGGTTTGGGCTGAAAGTATTTGGAAGAAATAAATCTAACAAAGCATTTGTGTCAAACTTAAGGCACTTTGAGATAATCAAATCATCCAGACAGACAGGACAAACATTTTCTCTCTAAGAAAATTCTAAAGAGCTGAATTGGGGTGTTGGGTAAAAATCCATTTGGATCATATCAGGATTTTTGGTTGCCCAATATAATATTTTTTTTTACATCCTACTGTAATATCAATTAAAAAAAAATTATAAAAAATAAAACAATGAGGGGAAAATGGGCTACCCCAGTATCGCCACAGATAGCGCTGTGGAGATCTTTTGCTGTTGAGGAAGTCTGTTTAAGACGTGGATTGACTCAAACCCCAAATAGATTCTGATTACATAAACATGCATTGGCTTTTTTGTCTATACATTTAATTTTGATAGCTGGGTAAAATATTGTAATACATAGTGATATTGCAATATCGTGATATCGTATCGTGACACATGGTGTATCGCAAAACATATGCCAATACTCACCCCTAGAGCTGAAAGCATGATAGTGCAAAGCTGAAATACAGTTTGTTTGGTTGAAGCCGATAAACAGCGACCTGATATTAAAGATTTTCAGAAAACTGGTCAAAGTTGCTGAAGGAACACCTTCAATTCTCAAATGCAGTATTCATTTCGAGTATTTTTGTTAGACCTTGAAAGGAGTGCTTTTAGTGTCTGTGGTCAATTTGGACAGATGGCTACACGTCAGCTGCAGTTGTGATATGTGATTATTACTGGTTTGTAACAAAAGCTGGGTGTTCTGTTGATGTGAAACTTTAAATAAAAAGAGATCAGATGTTTGGCCTCATGATGAGGAGAAGTAAATTAAAACGTTGACAGTAGAGCTTTGCATTTTTTTAAATAATTTCTTTCATGTTTCCTAATAATGCAGCCCTAGTTTAAGGAACATCAAACCTGAGTGGTAAAGTCTCTGTAATGCCCAAAACAATCATTGATGCATCTGTTTGATAAAAAAAATACCCACATGTGAAGACCAACTGTTGGTTGCTTGATGCAATCTTGCTCTTTTTTCTTAACAATTTTTCGTTCTGCCTTCAAAGGTTACCTGCCTTCAAGACTTCTTTGGTGATGACGATGTCTTCATCGCCTGTGGACCAGAGAAATTCCGCTATGCACAGGACGACTTCTCACTGGATGAGAATGGTGAGCATGAAGGCAACAGCAGGGGTCTTTCACGAGTAAATGCACAATGTTGGAAGATGTATTCACTTGTCTGCCTCGGCCTACATCCCATTTTTAATTCATAAGCGCTAACATGATATCGGCCCAGTGTTTACAGCTGTAATAGCTTTAGCTCTTCTGTTAAAGCATTCCAATATCTATTACCTTGCTATCTACGTGGATGACACTAATATTGGACAGGAAGTTAACCCTAACCCGGTCAAGTTTTCCAGCACTAGACTTGCTGATCCATGTCCTGATGGAAAAACATTGGTACCCTGCCCATGGTGCGGTCACGTCGTAACAGGAAAGGGACATCCTTAAGATGATCCCAGAAAATTGTCTCCCACCCACGGGGAAATTTAAACATGTCTCCACAGCTACAGACTGTGGTGGAGTTTTGCTTTGCACTATTGATTCCCAAAGTTGCTGTCGTCTGTCAACCTCTGTTGGGCTTTGAGATCCACTACAGAAATGAAACAAAATGTAAAAGCATCACTTAAAAACAGACAAAAGCAACTTATTTTGGTTGTTGGTACTCTTTGTAATATTATTAAATTAAAGGTTTATATAATCAACGAATGGTTTGGGTAATAAGTCAACATGGATACTGTTTTGTTGTTCAGAAGCTGAAAAATGTGGGAATCTCTGCTGTACACCAACACATCCGATGCAGGGCATCGTATTTGGTAATGCAAGTCTTGGATCCAACCATGGAAACCCATTCTAGGACACGCAAAGTTTTGTGTTATTACATAGCTTACCACTTCATGGCCCAGTTGTTGTTTCCAGTTGATCCCACTGTGTTAAAGATGGTATATTTACTTGTGAAATTTAATGGTTGGGCTTGAACAGGCAGAATCTTTATCCAAGTACCAGACCTGACATAGCGAGCTCCTGAAAGCAATCCATTGTTTGTGAAAGTAGTAAGCAAATATTTTAAATTATTGATCTGATTATAAAAGGCACCAAAAAAAAGCTGATTTTTAAATCAGGTGGAGCCAGTTAAGCAGTTCTGGATGGGGCACATAACAGACGAAAACTGTTTTATATCTTAATGTAAAATGAATATGTATTTTTTCTCCTAATTACTGCTCAGAGTAATTTTATTTTTCAGCTAAGGGAAAGCGTGAGTATGTAGGCTCCAGTTAACATTTATTTGATTGCTAAATTAGCTGATGATCATTTAATAATAATTTAACCTTATAGATCTCACATTGGAGAAATTTACCTCTGTTTTTAACCCATGCCCTTGGGGAGCAGTGGGCTGCCATTGTGGAGCGCCCAGGGAGCAGTGTGGGGTTAAGGGTCTTTGCTCAGAGACCCAGAGTAGCAGACTGTGGGAGTGGAGCTCGAACTCAGAACCTCAGAATTCCAAGCTCTATGCCCTAACCACTAGGCCGCCACTCCCCACTTAGATAATTTATTAATCAGATGAATTGTTTTTAACCCCAAAAATTTAGTCAGAATATGATTCAATTAATCTGGATATGATAAGTAAGTGAATACCTTTAATGGTAAAGCACAATCACCAACAATTACCTTCATCTTCTTCTCAATAAAAAAAAAATTCCCAGCGTTGGTATGAGCCTCAAAGCCCTCAATGTAGTAAAATGAGTTGGTAAAAGAGAAATCTGCAAACACCCTTCTGTTTGTCCATCTCTCTCTGTCAGCTTGAAGGTTAATATACAAAGCTGAGGGAGGGGGAAAATGATCTGCGCTGGAAGGATAACGACAAAGAGGCAGTAAGAGATGGAGCTAAAGAGGAACGTTATCAGCTGCCAACAGTTTGGCTAGAAACGGACTGAAGTCAGACAGCCATTAATCTGTCCACTGACGGGTTCAGGCCAGCTGATCTGTCTGTGCCGATACTACTATGACATTGAGAAGAGAAAATGTAAAACCAAGTGTCTTGCTGAGTCTGTCTTCTCCCTGCAGACCTGACAGACCTATTTTTAATGTCCTCGTTCTACATAAACCCCTCCTGGAAACCTGCAATCTTTTCATCCAAACACAAAGTGCTGCAGAGCTTACTTATTATGTTTTCCTCTATCCATTCTCTCTCCAATAAACATTCCACTAATGATCTGTGTCCCTCTTGGACCCCTATGCTAAATTGTTTCTTATAGTCTCTAACCTCAGGCCAGCACTAGAGAAAATGACTGGGAGACTCAGACATGCCGACATCAGAGTCTGAGTTTGCCTTGAAAGAGCCGAGGAGGGAGGTTTGTCTGCGGTGCATCATGTGGGGACATTAAAGTCTACAGCCTTCATAAATCCTCCAAACAAAGACGAATGAAGATGCTTACATTCTCTGTATTCAAGTCATCCAGTCTCTGGTATGAGGAAAACCTGGAGACTAACTGGAATGAATGATATCTTATTTTCCAGGGCTTCTGTTTGGACTAAACATGTGCTAATAATTACTTATTGAATGTCAAATGAGCCCATGTTGGCATTAGAACATACCTACTGCACTAAAGTGCCACTGAAAAGTGTTTGCACCCCCATTCAACTCTTATATATTCTTCAAAACAGAAAAAAAACCCACACTGAATAACTCCCAATGCAAAAGTAAAAACGGGTAGCTAAGATGCACCTTTCAGTTTATTTGTAGTTGATTCAGGATTTAGAATGAAACCTAATCTAAGTAAATGAGTGACCTTCCAATGGTATCAGTATATGTGACCTTGGATGCTTAATGTACCTGAAATAAGATAATGGGAGTTATTTTTTCTTGTTTTAAACATACATATTCTCATTCTGTTTGTAAATTGTCTCAATAGCTCAAATCGAGGAGAAAATACGTATTTAAAAGAATGTATTTACCTAGCTTGCTTTTCTGCAAAGAATCTTGTAGAAAATGCCAAAGAAAACCTGAGACTTGGCTGCCAAAAGTGTCTGGGCAAAATATTAAACAAAGGATGTGAACGGCTGTTAGGCAATGACAACATTTGGTGAACTATAGGTAGATCTAGAAGGGAAAATGCAGGCATGTTTTAGAGTAAGTTTTTAACAAATAATAATTAATAAAAATAAGCAGCTGTAAATTTTTCTCTATTAATGCAGCTCCGGCATTCATAGGGTTAGGAATCTGATGGGACTCTTGGCTATTTTGGGAATCCTAACCAGACGAGACAGGCTGCCAGTCTGAAGTAGTGTCAAAGACTGGTGGCGACACACTAAGCAAACAATGGTACCACCCATTCTAGGTCTGAACCCAGCGGTGTGTGAAGGTGAAGACTGATAGGGTGCGATCCCAGCGGATGGAGGGAGAACAGGAAGTATAATTAGAATCAAAAGGAACGAAAGAGTTGAAGGGAAGGGGGGTGGAGGAGAAAAGAGAGACTGACAGTATAAACAGAATGGAAGATGCAGGGAGGAGCAGCGACGTCTGGAGGCTGTCTGCTCTGATTATTACAGTGACCCAGATATTAAACATTTAAAAAATCCTGGAATGAATTCTTTCTGTAACTGGATATCAAGGAGGCGGTATTATGGTCGGAAGCTCTGGTCCGTCTGTAATAACATCCGGCTGTGTGATCAGTTTGGATTAAAGGGTTCTGATTCCCTTTCTTTTTCATCTGTCCCACAGAATGCAGGCTGATGAAGGGAGCCAAAGCCCAGCGTGGTTCGGTAAAGAGTCCCGGTCCAATCAAACGCTGCAAGTCGCCTGCTGATTCGAGTGAGTAATCCCCACCCTCTGGCCACGCCTGGTTAAAAGCACAAAGACGAAAGAGAAACAAACAACACTTGTGTTGTTTTGATCTAATGAAACATGTGACAGCAGAGGGATGGAGCTGACCTTTGACCTGATTCTGGGGGGGATGGTGAGCATAACAGATCAATAATGTATGAGCGGAAGGTGGCTTGAATCCAATGAGCAAATATCCAAGATGATTGGTTTTTAACACCTTTGTTGTTCTTTAAGAGAAGTCTGCAAGAAGAGTAGCTGGGTGGATCAGACATCAGCCCCTTTATCTTAAATATGAGGGTCCTCATGCATTCTAGGAACGAGCGAAGTTTAAATCCAGTCTTAGTGTAGGGATGATAATCAGACTTTGCATCCGGCAGCTTAAGACACTCCATTTTTAGGAAGAAGAGAAGAAAAACATGAATAAATCAAGAAAAGTAAACAAAGATAAAAAGAACAGCTGTGAGCTGTTTGTTGGACAACCAGACAGGTTAATATTTAATGATATCCATCAGCCCCTGCGACCCCTGGCCCCTCAGCGGCTGCCTTATTAATTGTTTATTAGCTTTTAATGTGACAAACGACGGATTTCATAAAAGAAGTATTGTGCATCTGTCTGAAGATATCAACATGGAAATTTAGTTTGTTTTTTAACCAAAAATGAGATGGATAAATCTGTCTCAGTCTCTTTTTTTATTGATATTAAAACATTTCTCCAAAATGTGTAAATTTTGTATATGTATAGCTGTAAATATTAGTTGTTTATTTTGAGTTGCAAACTCTTCGTAGCAGACTTTAGTATTTAAGGTCTAGTTCACAATTTTCCTCCATCTGCCTTACAGCGAAAGGACCGTACCAGTTTTTCTTGTCACGTAGACTTTTTCCATAAAACAAAGCTTCAACTATGCGTTGACTCTTAACTAAGGTCATTTAATGTGGGTCATGGCTTTGTCTTCTTCGATTTACACAATAAAAATGACATAATGTTAAGAAATGTTACACAAATCAGTTTTTAGAAAAAAATTATCAAATCAAACAAAACTTTAACAAAAAATTGCTAATGGATTGAGCAGCAAACCATGAGCTTAATGTGATCTCAAGGCATGGCTGCAAAAGCACCAATGAATCGGGCCAACGCATCTACAAATGCTATTATTAGCCTATGTGTCCGTCTATCTCTAGGGCCCACCCAGAACTTTTACACCTTGTTTGTAAAAAGGAGCACTACATTCATCCCAGACTCTACAATGGACACTACAACGCCAATAACTCGTGCAATGTATAGTATGCAATTACTATATAACCTGTTTCTCTATATTCGACACCCAGTGCAATAACTATATATGTAAAAATATCCATCTATATATATACCCATGTAAACACCCTGTGCAATTACCCTGTACAATAATCCTACTATAAAAAAATTTAATAAAAAGCTGTCATATGTGTATGCACTGTATAAAGTGTATATATCCCATGCATTGTTTTCTTCCTTTGGCCCATTCTTCTCCTTTGACTATTTGAGCTGATGTAAAAAGTAGATTTCTAAACTGTGAGATCATAAAGCCAATCAATCAACCAATAAACCAACTGTAAGGACTACTGCAGACTGTAGGGACTACTGTAGAGACACTGATGTCTGGTTTTCCACCTTTTGCTCCAACTAACTTCTGATTCTTGGAAGATGATAGTTTGATATAATAGAGCCTTAGACAGCCATGTTATAATAGAGCCTTAGACAGCCATGTTAAAATGTCTGACATAGAAATATAGAGTTAGAAAAGAACCTTTACAAAGCTTTTTGGTCTACATTCAAAAACTTTTTTGGCAATAAAAACATTTCATATAACAATATGAAAGACGGCATGAAAAGTCTGCGTTTCTTCCACTGTTGAACATTTCTTTGACGTTTCTCTCCACCTGGATGTTTGTTCTCTCGGCTTTTTATCTCATCCATGTGGGAGAGCTACTTGTTTGTGCAAACTGGTTCTTAAGGTAGTATGTATTCTGATCTGTTGGGCTTTTTTTCTTTTTTTTTTGGAGTGAGTTTTACTTTTTAACAAGCTGAAACAGCCTATTTTACTCTCTAACTCAGAGTGTTAAAGTGAAGCCAACCAGGGGGGAGAAGAGGAGCTTTATCCACTGTTTGTATTTGACAGTGGATGGCTCAGACTCAAGTTGGCCATCTGGTTCAGTCTTTTCATCTCTTGTAGACAAAACTCTTTTAAGGCTCTTACAACCCACAGCTACATCACCTCTCACTGCTCTGTGGTATAAACACAGCTTCCTAGCAACGATTCAGGATGCAGACTGAGAATAATATGAAGCCAAACCGACTCACCGGCCTCTTGGTGTGCATCTAGATGAGAGCCAAGTAAGGCCATCGTTCAGGACTGACTTTTATAGAAAGGGGGAGAGCATTGCTGTAGCACGCTATCTAATCCAAGCTACTCTAACTTTTTTTTTTCCCCTTCATCTCCTTTTACTTCTTTTCTTTCTCTGCTCTGTCGGGTCTCTCAGCCAACGGGACCGGCTCCAGCAGCCAAATCTCCACCCCGATATCCAAGCATTCCCCCACCTCCACCCCCACCAGTCCAGGCTTGAACAACAAGCAGAAGGTACCTAAACTTTTGTTCATCCAAAAGCTTCTTTAATATTCACACCGTTTTTGAATGTTTCCACATCATTTCACTTCGAAACTACACATTTCCTTAGACTTTTATCTGGATTTAAAGAAACAGACCAATGCAAAGTAGTGAACATGATTGAGGTGGAAGAAAAAGGTAGCTTTATCCTGATGCCCTTAAAAGGCTTCAAAAACTATCCTTATCAGTAAGTAGTCTGTCTTTGTACAGTTTAAACCTAAGTGTTTTTTATTTAAGGCTTTGGAGATTTACTGAAGAACAAATGAACATTACAAAACTGATCACGAAGTTATCGAGATGATTAAATTACATTAGATTACAGAAAAAATATCGTATTTATCAAACTTCTTAGAATAAGTCGAACCACTGAGGAGTGGACTAATGAACGAAAAATGCAAGTTAAAAGCTTTATTTAAAAGTTATTTTTTCAGTGTCTAACTCATACTATTAGCAAAGTGTAGGACGGAGTCTTAAGTGTGACTCAGAGTGGGTTAGGACAGTCCATGCTGCCTTAAATGGAGGTCTAGATGATGTCACTTCTAGGTGCATTGTCTTGACTAAGTGCTGAATGGGAGTGATTGTTGATGGCCTGTATTAATTTCACAACCTAAATATAGCATAATCTGGTAAACCGATTAAAATATACCTACATTTAAAAGAATCTCACTATATTGCTAAAAGGCTTTTATTCTCTTATGACCTGTTTATTAATGTAAATTGCCAAAAGAGAACTGAAACAATTATTTAGCATTTACACAGTGGTAGAAATGTATATGTATATTGTTTCTCATTATGAGATAAAAATCCCAAAATGGGCTTAGAGGAGTTTTTACAACAACATGCATTAGTACTGACTGGCCACGATTTATGTATGTCTTCCATGCATTTGTAACGCCACCGCCACAACTTTATCTCATGCCCATGATCAATCAAGATAATCTTGTGGCTGTTTTTAAGTGGTACTTGAAGTTCATGTTTCGTTTCCTGTTAAAGCATTATAATGGCTTTTAATTCCAGCGTGAAGCTCTGCTGCATGTGGTTACTGGTGAGATTGCGTCCCTTAAGTCCGTAAAACAAATTATACCCCCTTTCTCTAAACAATATGGTTTAATCAGCTGTGTTGTCAAGGTCAAAATCAATTCAACTCCTGGAACGTCCTTTGACGTCCTCTCTCGCCTTATTCCATCTTCTAGTGGTGACTTATATCCACTTAAAAAACCTCTGGAGGTCTCTTATGTATTTAGAGGAGAGGGGATGAATCTTGAACTTGATATATACATTTCTCAGATCTGCTCAGTGCGTCCACTGTAAATGGAAGGAGTATTACAGACCTCTTAATCTGGCAGACTGCTCAACAAAGACATTAATTAGAAGCACTTAAGGGGCCTGCACTGACTCTGGAGGAGCAGCAGAGATCCAATGAGTCAGGAGGACTATTAGTTAAGCACCCAACGTCTTTATGAAAGAGTGGGAAGAACAAAGCTATAATTAAAAAAAAAAAATGTTGAGGACATGGCAAATGATCCTTCAACATAAACAAGCACAATATCTGTGTTTTCCAAATAAAAACAAACTAAGGCTAATAAAAAAGCACATATTTACACATCCTTGCTCTCTAAATTAAAAGTATAGCGCGCAATCCTCTTTCAGCTTTGAGTGTTGTTGTATCCAGTCCAGCTCTCATTATATGCTTTAAAATGGCAGAAAGCCACAAGAATCCGTCTTAAAAGTTTAGGAGAAGAAAAGAAAGACCTTTCAAAAAAGAAATATGGCCCAGATTTGAAGATTCTGTCAAACGATGGCGGAGGAGCGGAAGGAGTGTCTTACTCATACACAATTGTTCAAAAAACAACTGGGTCATTTTTTTTACCTACATTTCTGAAAAAATGCTTCACTATACTTTTATTAATGATTGTTTTGTATAATTAAGTTAATGTATACATTAAAATGTTTTAGTTATTCATCTTTAATTACATAGAGGAATCCTAGATGTCTGCATATGCATAACTTTCTCTTCTAAGGCCTAAAAAGAGTATTTGTGAAAAGAACATGAATTTTGGTTATTATAATCTCTAATGTAAGTGATGCAAGTAATTAACTACTATATTTTTTTCTGAGTTTTTGTAAATATATGAACAATTCAAATGTAAAAGAGCATTCTCATGGGGAATGTATTAGAACATTCCCTATGAGAGTATCACTGCTGCCACCCTGTGGATTAGAGGGGAATTGCTTGTGAATTGTGTCCAAATAGAACAGGCATCCCCAAACTCGGTCCTCGAGTGCCGCTGTCCTGCAGGTTTTAGAGGTTTCCTTGTTCCAGCACAGCTGATTTTAATTGAAAGCTGATTAACAGGCTTCAGCTCAACTGCAATCATGATAATCAGCTGTGCTAAAGCAGGGAAACCTCTAAAACCTGCAGGACAGCGGCCCTCGAGGACCGAGTTTGGGGATGCCTGAAATAGAACAACCTGTGTGGCTACGGGGGTGGCTAATAATTTACCAAGAGTACTATGGCCACCCCTTACCCACCCCTGGTCGTCAAAATCCAGACCTACATTTGGATGGGTCTCTGGCAACAAGATTGATCTTCAAAGAAGTTCTAGGTGGTTTGATTAAGCTTTTAGTAGAAAAAAAGCAAAGCAAAAAAAAAAAAAAAAGTGAGTGAAGTTTAACACAATATAGCCTCTTTCTCACTGAATATCGGATTAAAGTATATTTTTCAAACATGGGTCCGGCCACTAACAATTGGTATTTGGCTCCCTTCCCATTGGCAAAAAAAATCTGGTCTAACCCCTATGTGGGAATTTGCATGGCCTCTGCTGATGTCGCCAGTGTGACAGAAATCAGGAAAGTAAACAATGGAGAGCAACATGGAAGGAAGCCAGGGTATAGACATTGTTCTTTATTGTTTGGCTCTATTATCTGTCAATTTAGCAGGTCAACCCGGCTCTGATGTTCCCACCGCATGCCGCATCAGAGCCGAGCTGATTTTAACGCGGTCTGCTTGGTGAGTTGTTTGACCCGGGTAGACGGGAGTCGGTGAGCAGTTCCCACTGCCACTAAAAGCTGATTGTTCGCAGGTTTAAACTGGTTTTTCGGCCAGTGTGAATAAGTTCAAAGCTGAAAGATTCCAAAAGAAATATGGGGGCAGGAATACAAAGCAAGCATGTCAGATTTTTATTCATTAGAAATGCCGCATTTCTCCTTTTCCTTCCCTTTCACCACCTTGTGTTGCTCATTCAACCTAAAATCCCTTTCACCACCTTGTGTTGCTCATTCAACCTAAAATCAAATTTCTAACAGTGAACTTTGGGTATTTTTCAATGTAATTCCAACTGATGATCCTGATGCTCATTTGTAACCCTGATGCTCTCTGTTTCCAGGACCTCTACCTGCCCTTATCTCTGGAAGATGAGGACTCCCTCGGCGAGTCGATGTAGACTTTCTTCCTGCAGCCAGCCTTTCTGGTTGGCCTGAAACACAGAAGTTTTATACATCTGCTGCTTTCATCCTTTGCTCACAGTGCCACCTGTCGAGGAGAACCACTCTGTCTCTCTTTATTTTTTTAGGGCCTTTGACACCATTTGCTGCTTAAGAATAACAAGCTGTTGTCAAATTCAGTCTAATCAGCTCAGTTCAGACACCATAAATCCACTTGTTTGCTGTTCTGAATGCAGAGTTTTCCACGTCTCTAAGGGGTGTACTTTTCATTTCAACTTAGATGTCCAAACAGCAAATGGGAAATACTCAACATTTTGATCCACTTTACATTTTTGTGACAGTCTTTCCGTCCAATAGTTGAAGGTGTGAATGTTCATGGTTCCATGTCGGAGGAGGGTCTGTTTGGCCGGATTAGGGCCTTTTCAAACCTGCTGTAAATACTGTGTACAGCCATCCATCCACCATAACCTCTCTGCTCAGTGTCCGTTTGCTGTGCTTCCATCATCTTACGATGTCTAACCTTTGCTCAACATTTAACAGGGTCACAGGGTCAAAGTTGAAGAAAAATCCAACAGTGATTGTGATGGTAGTTGAGATGCAGCTGCTGCTTTTAAATGATTGAAAGTTAAAAGAAATTTATAATTTCCGGCCTTATATTATGTAATAAAACTGATCAGCATTCAAGCTGAATAGAGAAAAAAAAGAAGTGAAGGCAGCGGATCCCACTCCTCCTGATGTTGGTGTTTCATCTACTTTGACTCCTCACATAAACAGTAGGCTATAAGCTGTTCCTACCCTCTATGTTTTCCACAAGATGCAGTGCATGATGTTGACTTGTATGAAACTTTTTATGTTGAGCTGTTTTATTGAAGGACCTTATGGTACATAAAAAACAACCAAAGCCGAATCTAATGGGCCCAGAATCCAGTTTTATTTGAACCTTTCCTAGTTGATTGATTCCGTTTAGACCAGTTTCTCACATCTGCTTTTTGATCTGATGTGAACAATAAAGGTGCCAGGCAAACATATTAATTACAATTCATTTTTTTTCTCTCACTTTTTTAATCCCCTTAATGCAAGAAACTACAGTAAAAACTTTAGAAATGTCATCTGTGAATGTCAGTCACTGGCTCATTCATCAAAATGCTTTAAATACTTCGAAAGGTGAACCGCTGCTCTGTCTGAAATCTTTTACAATCTCTAACATGATTCCTTCTCTTATTGCCCAGTCTCAACAACATCCACCTTCCCACCAGCTCTGACATGCTTGAAGCAAAGCTTCACCACAGCATAATTCTGCAATCACCGTGTTTCTTGGCGGGTTTTGGATTTAGAGGGACGTGCAGTTTTATTGCTCCGAGGGCATTCATAGAGGAGCTACATTAATATTGAGATTATATTAAAAACAGCTAATCTTTATTTTAGCATTACGGCTACTGCCGGAGAGAATTGGTTACTCTGGTTTTTATTTTGTGGCATCAGGGTAAAATGGTGCTGAAAACACAGGCACAAATTTCTCTTTAGAATCTAAATTGTTAAAAAGTTGAAAACTATCTATCTTATTCCACTTTACAAATCTGCTGTTCAACTTTGTTGGTGAAAAGCACAATATTTCAATTTTGTGGTTATGTGACAGATTGTGGAAAAGTTTCAAGCAGCGTGAATCATTTTTTCTGTGCACCACAGCCGGTGGGGAAAAAAGCCTCAAAGCCAAAGTGTTGTTTTGACCAATAAATGAAATGTAATTTTTTTTTTTTTTGTGAAAAAGTGAGCACACATGGAGTTTATGCATGACACATTTTAAACCTTAGGAATAAATCATCTTCATTATGGCGCTAAACAGTAGTGGGATTTCTCCTCTTTTTGCATGGCTCGGCATAGATCAGGGATCAAGGGAGGGTGATGGAAAAATGATCGCCTAAAATTTTCATGTTTGGGTTTGAAATTTTTATAAAGCTTATTAATTTATATTGAAGGTAACTGTGTAGGATTCTTTGTTTTTTTTTCATGCTTCTGTGTGCAAATTTTTTAAGATCTCCATATTTCTACTTCTGTCGTTCTTCTTATAATCTATCCAACTAAATGTGGTGAAGGGAGTTTTTTTCTTAGAATGGAATCAAGCCTGAGAAGTCTCTGAATCAAATGACTGAAGCACAAAGCAGGGAGCAACTAATTCACTAAGAAAACAGATTTTTACAGGCCAGCCTCTCAAAATTCTCAACCAACGATTCTCAGTAGTGATAAAATGCTGCAGCTGTGGCATTAAAAACTATGCATTTGGATTCAAGAGTTGCTAAAGTTATCTTTAACAGAAATTGCCTTTTTTATTGAAGAAGTGCAGATAGAAATCAGACTAAGTACTTTTTTTTATTAGGTTACTTCAGTGTCTGTCAGATATTTGTCCATCTTTACATGATGCTCCGCCCGCCTGCTTGATGAGCTTTTAGAAGAAAAGAAAAAAAAGCATTTTTTTGTCAGCCACTCAATGCTGAAGACAAGCCATCACAATCTGGTGCTGTAAACTCCACCTTTCTCCTGCAGGGAGCGCTGTTATGCCAGCACAACAGCTAATTATAGCATAAGCAGGGATGCATCCCTTTGACCACCATTTTGTACCAAAAAAAAAAAGAGAAAAATAATTGCCGTCTCTCTGGTCAATCGTGTTAAACTTCACTCACTAATGATGTTGTCTCCTTCCAGCTTTTTACATCTCTTAACATATTTAGCAGAAAACAATGTTTGTCCTGAATGAAGCGACTGCCACCATCAAAGATGGATGGTGTGATTCATCACCATCAGTGGTGCCTTTTTTTTTTTTTAGATACTCGTCTTTTGATAAAAAAAGAAAAAAAGGCTTGTTCTTTAGCAGATTTTTGTAATGCATTTTTTAAATGTCTTAAATGAGGAGGCCTCCTTTCACACTTTGTTTTGTAGAAATACAGGACACTTTATCATGGTGTAAATACACTCCCTTCCTCTTCTTTCATATGTATCCCTTCCTGATCAAATGACTTTTCTTTCCCTCTTTCAAATTTACACTGTTGTTTTTAGTGTTATTTGCAATGTTACAGTGGCTTGTTTCAGTGCTTCATTCAATGTACTAACTGGTATCCTTTTGCAAATAAAATATTGGTATTTAAACTCAGTTTTCTGTTCATTATGTATTTGTTTACATTTTGTTAATTGGTATGCATGATATATAAAAAAAGAACTTTTGGAAATAATTTTACGACAACTGTTTACTTTGACTTGACTAATGTTTTTGTAAAGTATTGCTACTTTCCCCATCTATTAAGTTCAGTTAATTTATCCAGGGACATCCACCATTTCAAAGCTCTAGAGACGATTCAATCTGATCATACAATCAGTTTGGCTCAAAGTTGAGTTCCTCCTAAATAAGCATGTGTAAAAAAACAGACTTTTGCTTGCATTTTGAGGTTGACTCTATAGCAATCCCTAACACCAAGCAAGCATGCTGTGTCAGTGGAAAGGAAAAGCTTTCTTTTAACAGAAATCTTCAGCAGAACCTGGCTTGGTGTGAGCGCCCTTCTGCTGAGGCCAACTGGGCATTCAAGTAAACAGAAGCACTGAGGTCCATTTCAAAAAGGAGGTTTAACAGACTGATTCAAATCCGCAACCCTAAAATGATCTAGGCTGAGGTTGGGAACTCTGAATTTTCGGTTTCACAACGGCTGCTATGAATTAGTTCAATCAATTCTAGGTGAACACATGCGTGAGAAGTATGAAAAGCCATTATCAGTGGAGCCCCGAATAAACGAGTCACCCTGACAACAGCCAACAGGAAGTACCCATTTCATCCCACTCTAACTAGAGGTTTTGATGAAGGAATAAAAAAAATGGAGAATGTGTTTAAAAGACAGATAAACTGTGCTGCAACTGTAAAGGAGAGGAAGAAGGTGAAGAAGATTGCTGCTCCTTTTAATGCATAGGTTTATATGAAGTGGGTTATGGCAGGCCGTTTTGACATTTATTAAAAAGTACTCTGAATTATGCTCATATTGAACTAACCAAAAACAAATACACCTCACATCCTGTCAACTGAATTGTAGTCTCCTCTACCTAGAAATATTTAATTGTCTGTGGAAAAAATGCAGATCATTCTTTGATCTGCATTTCAAATGGACATGCAATTTTTGTTTTTAAAACCTAATGCCTACTGAAAGATTTCTTTTTTTTGCACAAAACTACGACAAAAACCTGACTAAATCAAGATATAAAACAATTTAATCGGCTCTAAGGAGAGCGGAGTCTGAGTTTAATGAACAAAACCAGCTTCCAACCAGGTTAGCTCTGGGGAGAATGTTACTATGGTGACTGAAACAAAGGTTTAATAAATTCTCTTTGTAAAAAGGAAAACTCAATTTCCCATACAGTATTTCAGGTTTAGAAAATGTAGAGATGTCAGTAAACCTGCTTCGTGAAATGGACCCTGATCTGTAAATACCTTTTACGTTAGGAAAGCCAACGGTAAAGTAATTCCTTAAGCAGCTGGGCTCTGTGCCAACTGTCATGCCTAAAGGGATGGAGAAGAGCACATACAGTTAGTCACAGTAAAACCTGAACCAAATGACAAAAGTCCCCATGTCCTCCAGCAGCTTAAGCCTATAGCAGCTTAACTATAGTCTAATTTGTCTACTGAAACTTGAGTAAATGGTAGATTCTGAGTGGAAGACAAAATGGTTGGTACCCCTTGTTTGATGAAAACAACCACAGTGGTGATAGAAATTACCTGAATCTGACAAAAGCAATAATAAAATACAAAAATTTTACATGGACATTGTTTTTCAACCATCCTTTAAAATAATGATTAAAAAAAATAAAGAGACTAATGAAACACGCAACTATCACCCAGTACCCGAGCAGCCATTTTAACAAATACTCCTCTACTCGTATTTGATTAATTTATTGGATTACAAGTTTTTATTTTTACTTGAGTACAAGAAAAGGTGAAGTAGTGCAGTAAATACTGTTGAGAAACTAGGCTTTTAATGTTTAAAACGTCTGCATTACCAAGGGAAAAATAATGAATTGGTCATGGCTAATGTCTCTCATTTTTAAGATATGCAAATATAAAGTTAAATGATTAAATGTACCGGTAATTAAATAATTATACTAACTGTGAAACTCATCTTAAAAAACAGGAAATAGGCAACTTACTTACAACTTATGTATTTTAGTCTTATTTTCTCTACACAAATAAACTCCTTAAATGTCAAATTACACAAAGTTGAGGTTAAATGAAAATAACTTAATAAACTTGTTGGTTTAGCACACATGTGGGACATGTCATTGGTCAAAAAAGGTTATCCATTTTCTTGATCTAGATGTTTTTTTTATTATATAACATGGGATTTAGCACAATTCTGCATGAGATGATTTTATGCAGAATTGTAATTTATTTAACTTGGTGTTTTTAGCAGCAGTCATAAACCAAATCATCTTCTATATTTATTTTGTTATTATCCTTTAGCACCCCCCTGCGGTCAACTGTAGAAGTGGAAACTATGCTGTTAAAGATTCCAGCTTAATTATGTGTCAGTGTGATAAGTTAAATACCAGATAATAATAATTACATCATACGAGAATTTATAGTGGTAAATTCATAGTAATAAAAAATGGAAACACATTAAATGCCGAAACTAATAACACTGGGTAATCTAGAAAATCATCGGATTTAAAAAGGGTTAAAACGCTAAAAATTGGTTATCTTTTCTGTATTTTCTTTCTGTTTGTTTAATTTGTAGTTAAAGAGTGTGGATCCACTCACTGGAGTGACCCCCTCCTTCTCCTGGGCCTGCATATTTTTTTTACTCTGACTCCAACCTTTCACTGAACTACAGGATCTCACCAGGAAATGGGGCTTCTCTTTAGATCTTAATGTCCAAAATTCATGACAGAATATTTTAGTGTAAAGATTGATGTTTGAAGAGGACGTGTATGGGACCAGCCAAACTACAACTGCAAGTCAGACATTTCAGATTTAGGTTTAGAGATGTTTATTTCAAAGATGTTAAGATCAGAAAATGAATTGAAATAATTTCTCAAACAAAACTAGAAAGTACTATTATAGCAACTGCAGTTCTATTATGTACACTGTATTTGAATGAGTGGGAAGAATGAAAGCTTATTAATCAAATCGCCTCCTCAGAACATAATACTCTATTCCTCAGTTTCCTTATTCAAATTTGTACAATACTATGTTCAATACAGGTTAATATATAATCAGTTTGCTTACTTAGTGTTTATATCAATAACAAACAAAACAAAATTCTCTTGATATGTTATTTTAGTATAGAAACAATTATTGTTAAAATTAAAAAAAACAAATCCTACAAACATCGGGGACCTCAGCAGAGTTTAAAAAGTTTAACAATATCCTCTTTATTGATCCTCCGTGATGTTATTTAACTTCCTGTAAAACTGAATTAGTGTGTTTTTTTTATATCTATCTATCTATCTATCTATCTATCTATCTATCTATCTATCTATCT